TAATAAAAGTAATAAATAATAATTATTAAGGAATAATAATAAGGTACAGAATTTTTCAGTGTTTGGTCTCTGCTTCTGTGACTGTTAGGGCCATTATGTCTAATAAGGAAGTAAGAGAGAAAAATGAGGGGATAAATAGATGGTGTTAGTCCAGTGTTGTATTTCTCAAACCTGCACCTTGTAGGGATCCTGACTAAAAAGACATTGTCTTTATAAAAAAAAGCTTTTCCTTATGGTGTTTTCAGTCATCTTAGCCAGAAGTGTTTTAAGCTGTGCTTTTATTAAAAGGTTAGAGAATTAAGTTATTCTAAGTCTTCCATTTTGCCATCTGGCTTTGGAAATGAACAAGGATCAGGAAAAGGTGTACGGTAAAATAGGTGATCATGTAGCATTCTAAAAGTGCAACTTAGAGGTCTAAAAAGGAGGCTAGGCAGCATCACCTGCAGCAGGCCTGCATAAGAAAATTGGAGAATGCAATCATTGCATTCAGATTTTTTACTTACAAGTCTAAAGCATGTTTTCTTTGGCTTAAAAGCAGCATTTATATACACACAGTCCACACGCTGTCTTCTCAGTACATGTAACGATTATGCCATAATAATCTGTCGTTTCTATAAAATGCCTCTTGTAACTCTCAAGACATGTTCCCTAAACATCTGCTTCTCCAGATGTCCAGTCAGCTTGTTTGCACCCAGGTGCTTTTGGCTTTTGTGTCAGTCAGACACACAGCTTATTAGAGTTATTTGAAAATGTTTCTGCATTTATACATGCAGATTTATAGTTTCTTATGAACTGGGGTAGGAGAGATGTGATAAATTTGAGATGGGCTTTTGTTTCTCATGCTGTGTCTTCATACATCAAGATTTCCCCATGTAGAACTGCAGTAATGTGGCTAACTGCATCTGCTGTTCACCACCACTGCAGCAGCCCAGGTGAAAATTAAAAAGAAGGAAAAGTAAGATGTTCAAGGGTAAGCCAGGGCTTCACTGGCACATTTTAAATTGTAGCTGTTTTACAATAGCAGATCCCAAAATGATTTTTCGTAGTCTGGAGATTGCAAATCCACAGCAGAATTTGGTGAAAACCTTAGGTTTACTAACTGTGATAGACAGTAGGTGTAATACAGAAGGTGTTCCTCAACAAACCTATTCATTTGGATATATCTCTAGTGTGATCAAATTGGACTGGAGAGTTAATTATTCAGTGGCTTTTCAGGAGAAGGAATAGGAGGAGAATATTAACACCACCAAACCACATCAAAGCCTCCAGGTTCTGTGCCTGTTTGTTTTGTGACCTTGAATGCAGATTGAGAACAGCTACTGCACGCCCTTCACAACCTACCAAAATGGGACACCCATGGCTCCATGCGGCGCTATTGCCAACAGCATGTTCAATGGTGAGTAGGTAACTTCCACATCTGCCTTACTAATTTTCACTTAAAATTGTTCCATTACCCCAATTCAGCTGAGTCCTGATAGCGCAAGATCTCTGTCTTTCTTCCACTAAAGGTTTTGTTTAGCAGTGCTACTGTGGTGAATAGGGGCCTCTCCTTCCTTCTGCTTGATAACTTGCCCCTCATTTTGAAACTGAGGAAGATTTTTCATTTTCTAAGGCCCTCCTCCATGTGAATACATGACAGGGCTGAGAAATGGAATTGCTGGTGAAATAAGAAACGGTGATACAATTTAGCGTACTTCCTTGCTAAAAAAACCCACATTCTTGTGTAGTGATGGGAGAGCCCAGATTCGACCATCCCACAGGGGTGTGCTTGCAAGGACGTGACATGTTTTTCACATTGGTTTGGACCTTTGGATCTACGTGGTTGCATTTTGTTCTTTGAATGCTGGAAGCATGCATAGTCTTACTTAATTTGATCCCAGGTTTGATCTTATTTATTGAAACTTTATGGACATCACCTGCCTATTGAGTACATTTAGGCTGAAACCTAGAGGGCTTTTAGCCATGAACGCTGGCAGATTTCAGAAAGGATTTCTTTGGGAGGAAAGGAGACAAGAAACTTCTACAGACTTTTCTCCCTTACCCCATCCTTTTTACCTGTCCCTGCCTGGTTTGGTTTTTTTTTACCTATTCCATGCAGCAGTTTTTGGCAATGCAGCAGCTGTTCTCAAGCAGCTGAGCCACCAACACCAGAGGACTTGTGAAGGGCAGCTGCATTCAGTAACTTCTAGATCCATTTAACCTTCATCTGCCTATCCACCTACTCCCTTGGAAGTCTGATTCACTGGACTGGGCTTAGCCCTAGGCCAGCAGAGCTACCTGCATGGAGCCCAAGCTGTTCTAGAGCCCTGGCTGCAGGACAGAATGCTCCTGCAGAGAACTAGGGATATTAAGATTTTAAAATGCTGAGGGTAAACCTCCCAGTGTCTGCCTTGCATCTGTCCTTGGTGCACAGTGTGATGAAAGATTCCAGCTGCTGGTGATGTGCAGGAAGGGGCTGATGTCTAAATCCTGCTCTGGTAGTTTATTTCTGACCCTCTGCTGTGAAAGAGGATGCTTCCCATTCACTTTTGACAGCTTAGCTGGTTGTCTAATCTTGTTTTGTAAGTGAGGAAGATGGCTAAGTTCCTGCCATGGGAAAGGTTTTTAACCTTAAAGGCTTTTAAGGTTTCCCTAGCAGTAAAGGGAGCAGTCAGACAAGCAGATAAACAGGCAGAGGCTCAAAGAATTGCAACTCCTTTTAATAAACTAGAGACAAACAGCTGGGGAGGTAGTGGAGCACATAATAATCACTTACTCAGCAGAGCATGTCTGAGCCTTAAGGAGCTCAGACACAGCTGTGTGACACAGCTTTTGTAGCAGGATAAAAAAGAAGTATGTTGTCATTGATGCTCATGCAGTTGAGTTGTGGTTGTTTCCTAAAAAGCAGCTCCTCCCCATCTGTATCATCTAACTATCCCTGCCTGTCATCTCATTGGCTGCCTACATGTTTGCGTAGATGTTAATGAGACCTATAATGGTTTTGCCTTATGTTAAACTAACCCAAGTAGGAAAATCTAGTGGATAAAAACAAGTGCTTTTTGCCCACCGAAACAGGATGGCATGGTTAAGCTCCATTTTAACTAAATGTTTTTTGATTAAAGGAAGTGTTCATGTCCAAGTCCGTAGACAAGGTCTAATTGGCATAAAACTAAAGTGAAATTTTCCCAAAAGGATCATGGATTCCCTTGATTGTGTTTTTATCTCTTCCCTGAACACGTTATATATAGCAAAGCCATCAGTTTAGGAAAACTCAAAGAAATACTTTGAGAAATGCTAAGAATTTCCCAAAATAAATACTTTTTGGGAAAACCCAAAGAAATAGGGAAAGCTAACTAAGAGAGTAACTTCTGTAACTAGCTAGAGAGCTCCAGAAGTGATTTGCAAAGAAGTTGTCACACAGGAGTTGATAGACATGGGATACTTGCACATATTTCTACACAGGGATTCAACGAATTATTGGTAGGGGTATGTTCAGTCTTTAAAACTTCAGAAGTTCTAAGGCTCTGGAACCTTAATTCTTCTTGTGGAATGTACACAGTCATGATGAAACCTTTCCCAGGTTGGGTTTTGGTTTTTTTGTTTTATATTCACTTGAAAGATACCTCAGTGTGACAGGTTTGTTATTCATGCTGGCAATTAGAATTACCGTCCTTTACTCAGACCTATTGTTTCTTCTATTTCCTGCAGATACTATTGACCTTTTTTACCACCTTAACTCATCTGTTATTCAAGTACCACTGCTGAAGACTGGAAACAGCTGGTGGACAGATAAAAATGTGAAATTTCGCAATCCAAAATCATACAATCTCTCTTCTGCATTTGCAGGTAAGAACGGTTCCACTGGCATTCCTTATTTTTCAATGGCTCTCCTACCTCTTCCCCTCTCTGTGAGGGTCTCCCATTCTGAGATGTTTGCCTTTGGGAGAAATGCTTCCTAAGCAGTTTGGAGAAGCAGCTTCAGAAGGTGACTGAGAGTAGAAGACAGATTTTGCCAAAATATCACTTATTTTTGTCACTGACCTTAGAATTTTTATTCTATTTTATTCTATTTTTTTTCATCACTGACCACAGAACTGGGAGAAAGTGGTTTCAGAAGACTGAAGTTACCCCATGTCAACACCCTTCTGTGTAGTTTCTTGTAATGCTTAGTCTGTTCAGGGAAAGCAAGGATGCAGTCCACTTTATTTTTTTCATGTTGAAAACATCTATGAAGGAGAATTGTGTGTCACATCTTTCCTTCTTCATGACTTTGCAGATTCATGGGCAGTTGTTAGACAAGTGAGACTGCCTTCATCACTAGTTCTTTAAAACAGCTGTTTCCTAGCTGTTGCTTTGTTATGGTTGATCTGTATTGAAGCGGGGCCAAGAGCTCCCTATTCTGGATCAGGGCAGTACTGTGCGCAGTGCCATATTCATAGTAGTTTTCACATGACAGACTCTAAATATCGTAAGGTCTGCCATTAGACTGCAGAAAGGTGCATTTCTGGTTGTACAGGAGTAAATTAAAGTATAAAAATGAAGGCAAGCTTCATAGAGGTAGATTCTCTCAGTAGAGAGCATGCTGCTTGCTGAAGAGGCAAGAGTCCAGAATAAACAGTATTTTCATTTGTGCAAGTCACTTTGTTTTTCCTGTGCTTAAAGTTTCTGATGTGTAGCAACCCCTGGGTACTGCTAAATTCTGTTCATTCATGTTTGAGGTGAGTGGAGATGTTTGGGTGAGAAGTGTTATCTAGCATGCATAATTTTTCACTACTGGGTAGAGTCCTGTGTCTCTTTCATATCTCATATTCTGTATTGGTTGTGAGCAGGCCCAGAAGTCACCAACCACTCTTTTTACTGACAGTTTGTCTTTCCTGCTTTTTTTCCTTTTTCGTCAGGGACAGCAAGACCTCCTTACTGGCAGAAACCAGTATATTTGTTAGATGAGGAAGATGAAAGGAACAACGGTTATGTAAATGATGACTTCATTATCTGGATGCGAGTGTCAGCCTTTGCTACCTTCAGAAATCTTTACCGTCGTGTCAGTCGGATAAGGCAGTTTGCAGATGGCCTCCCAGCAGGGAATTACACTTTTCGTATTTCTTACAGTATCCTTTCATGTTGTCCAAAACTATTAGATAGTTACAAGGTGGAAGTGGATGGTATGTGTATAGTAAAACAGCAGAGAAACAGAACAAAACACCCCAGACTAAGTCACCATGAAAAGACCTAGTTTTGAGGGTGATGAGACACTACAAGTAGATTTTGTTTGGCCTGTGCTGATGGATCTAAGACAGGTTACTCAAATGGAAACATGACTTTGGGCTTTTGGATTTGTGCCACATACTGACAGGAACTTTTATGCTGGTGAAAAGGCACTCTCACTCCAAACAGCACAAACTTTTCAGATTAAAACACTCAGTTTGTCAGCAGTAGTTATGTCAAGATGATTATAAATTTCTGTCTCAGCCAGTAGAGCTATGATTTTAAATACTGTGGAACAGTTCTGTTTCTGAAAGTTTCCACATTGAGAGATGAAAGGTAAAATCATACAACATTTTGGGTGGATAATATATTAGGTAGAGGTGAACGCTTCCTCTCAGTGAGAATATGTGGATCACCATCATCATCTAGTGGTTTGGGTTGGAAGGGACCTAAAAGATCATCTAGTTCTAATCATCATGATAAACTGCCCAAAAGGCTCATTTTCAACTGGGTTTTCATACAAATTAACACAGTAGCAGTTACATAAATTATGAATCTGGAATTTATAATGTAAAAAAAAGAAACAAAGTATTTCCATGTTCAGGCAGAGGTTATATTTAAAATAACTGGATTTCTTGCCACCAGCTGCTACTGGGTATTGGACCCAGAATAGCAGAGATGTCACAAATCAGTTACAGGATTTTTTGCAGCAAATGCAGATCTTTAGACTGTTTATGACTTGGAAAGAGTTTTGAGCATTTACCACCACTTTTTCTCCTGGAAATAATGTAAACTTCATTAGTGAAACCTTAACATCCTTCTATCAGATTTCCCTGTTACCAAATTTAAGGCGAGGAAGCATGTGATTCTTTCGACTGTGGTATGGAGTGGAGGAAGTAACCCATTCCTGGGAATTGCCTATGTGGTTTCTGGCGCAGCAGCAACCCTGGCAGGTTTTGTCATAACTGCCATCCACTTAAAGCTCAGAAAAAGGAAAACATACTTTCAGAAGTAATAAGGTTCCCTAGCTTTCTAAACAAAGGCAAAGGTGTGCTGTGGGAGAAGAACATGCAGCACTGACCTTTCATTCTTTCCCTTGAGCTCTGGATCTGTTTCAGTAACAGGTTTGGTGAACACAGGCAAATTGAGGGGCAGTGCTATTCTATCATCCAGAACCAAACTTACCTGAGGCTGTGTTCTTATTACAATCTGTGTGTGCTCCTGGGAAACTTGTAGTGAGATGGACTTCAATCTACAGATAGCGTAGTGGGTTAGAATTGAAATGGCAAAGAAATTACGTGGTACTAATGTCTGGCCAGAAGTAAGGGTCTGTATTAATTTCTTACTCAGCCCTTAATTCAGAAAGTATTTCTATTGACTTAAATGGAGCTTTGGATGGATAAAAAGTGCAGTGTTGATACAACAAAAAGCTTGAGCAGGTAGAACTCGGTGCTAAATCTGTTTGTTGGCCACATGTGTAGGCTGACTGACTTGGCTTAGGTTTTATATACCTTTTTCAGCTATCCTGAAAAAGCAACCAGTTTAGCACAGCATATTCATGACAATTTGATACCTTAGTTATGATTGACCACAGGGCATTTTTAGGAGTTTCGAGTTTGTTTAAACCCAACTTACTGGGTTTACCTAGGTATTGAGACTAACCTGTGAAGCTAGAGGGCATCAAAACACTGACTTACAATTTTAATTATGATTTAATAGAAAGTTTAAATTAAAATCTTCTTTAATACTAAGTATTTTAGTGAAACATCTACCTAATGTAACTCTTAGGCCACAATTGCACTCCTGCGTATGCAACCCTTCCACACACAAGTTCACAGACTCTTACGCAACACAAAATGTCCTTGCCCCTTTCAAGCCCCCAGTTCTGTGCTGCAGTGACTTACTGTCAACAGAAAACAATGCATCAGAAAACCTGACTGTTTTCAGAAAGTAAAGAGTGCAGCTCATGAATAGGCTTACAAGTTTTCATGTTCAAAATGTTACACATTTAGGAGTTATTTCCAGTCTCTCACAAATGCAGAAATAGCACTGAAGCATTCAGGTCAAGGATACTGTGGTGCATCATATTTTTTTTAAATAATACAATACTTCTGTTGCAAAAGTGCAAATGGAATAAAAAACTTTAAATTCATTCTTTGAATTAATTCTTATTCTGGGTAACTTACCTCACTCTCCCCTAAAAAAAATCTCCACACTAAACCAAATAAAAATCACAGACTAGAGCAAGAGAAGGGAATGTGGCTGAGGGATTCTGTGTGCTGCTGTCAAGGGCACCCGTACCTGCTTTTAAAAGCGTCTCGGGCTCTTAGGAGCTTGTGACCCTTGGCAAATGGCCTCTGGTGAATCTCGTTGCAGCCACAGAAGGTACTGTTTCCTTTAATCTCTGCTTCATAGTTGGGCCATGAGCAGCAGAAGTTCAAGTTCACTGCCCAGCCTGCTAATACAGTCTTGCTCCATCAATGTTTATGCTGACCTGCTGGGCCAAAGTGTGTGTCCCCATCTACTTCTCCTGGTCAGGGCCAGTCACCTCCATCAGAAAGCTGTAGAAACAGGGTTCCAGTATTTCCAACCCTTATATCTGTCAGGAGCTGTGGTAGAAGCTACCCCTCACTGGACTGGACAAGATAGACGTGAAGCACTACATACAGCAATGCTTCAGCTCATTAGTCTTAATCACTTCTAACAATGAGATGTGCTCCTAAGCCTTTTAAGTCCTTTTGAAAATGTAATCCCATGCAGCCCTCTGGAAAGCCCTGGTGGAAGTCGCTGCCAAAGCTGAATTTAGGATTTCTGGCTCCAAACAGACCACAGGAGCCTCTTCCCCCTCCCCACCCCCCTTTTTTTTTTTCTTTTAAATCATCCAAGAAACTGGCTTTCAGGAAATGATATGTCATCTGAGAGGTTAAGTCACAGTGCAATTGTGATTTATTATTACCTCTTCATGAAGTATCTGGTAAAAATGTTAGTAAAAGGAGACTGAATAATGAGGTATGTATATCAGTGAGTCAGTGTCTACCAGAAAAAAAACTTGTTTAGAAAAGACACTCTAGCAAGTAGTGCTTACAGTTTGCCCATTTTCTCCCAGAGGTTTGTGCAAGAACCTCTTCTCTTGAAATGTGCATTGTCTTCAAAGCCCTCTGCAGGGAAAACCTGTCTTCAAACAGATCTTCCTCTTTCTGTTATTCCGGAAATCATCAGTGTCTTGTTTATAAACACCAAACATCTTTTCCATCTTACCACAGCTTTAAACACATCTTACATCTTTCTTGTACCCTCCGAACAGAGTCCTTGAAAGCTGCTGCTTGAGCTCCAGCAGTTACTGTTGCTAAATCTGAGCAGCTATGCCTTGTCATCTGGGATTGTGCTACCCAGACCAGAGCAATGGGAATAACAGCTTTGATGAACTGCTCCCAGCAGATGGAATTTGCCTTGCTTAGAAGCATGGAAAATAAGTTTTAGCAACCTCCTTATAGTGCCGTTTGTGCCAGTGCTATGACTGTAGTTGGCTGGTCTGCCCTTTGTGCTACAACTTGCATGAACATGCCTTTTCAAGAAAATGTTGTAGATGTGCTCCTCGGTGCCCACTTTGGGGATTACTCTATCTGAAGTGTTTACTGGATTGTTTTACGCTACTGCTGCTGCCACCTTATTCCCTCTTGTGCAGAGGCTGAAACAGAAGTGAGAGCTCTAGCTGAAGGACCAGCCTAATGTAACAGAAAGATAGCAAAAGCTGTGCTCCTGGCTGTGGCAAGTCTCAGGGGATTGTCTCCTTTTGTCAGCTGCTGATATCAGCAGGGAGCATGATTCCAGACAAAATCCAGTGTGACTTTGAATTCATCTATTCTGCTTACTAAGAAATTGTTAAATCAAATCGATAGGGAAAACATACTGAGATTTGGAGAGCAGAGGCATGAAGGGAACAGAGATGTTGCGCTTTACTGAGGTACAGACTGCTTTTAAAATACATGGGGTGTCATGACCAATACTGAGTCTATGGCACAGTGCTGCTTTTGCCTTGCACTTTGGATATTATGAATTAATATTATGCGTCTCGAGTACAGGAAAAATAAAAAGCACCTCAGTAAAACTTCTCAAGATTGATTTCTTTAATTAGCTTCTCTATTGAGCATACTTCCACCAATAGTAAGTAGGCCTTCTTCTGTGAGAGATTAGTGTATGTAGGCTTATCCATTCAGTACAATATGTGTGGGTTTAAGATTGCTGAACAAAATTAAAGAGCTGTACCTGGAAAGTGTGGGTCAACAGCATCACTGAGAGTGCTACGTCACTAAGCAGTAGAAGACTTATTGCCACTATTTGTAGTATTTTGGCATATGAAAATTATTAAAGTATTTTAATCCCTTCCCTACAGACACCAGCACTTCAGAAAATAGCAAAATACTGAAAAAATACTTTTTTGCTTTCAAATCAAAATGCTGTTTCCTTTGTTACTGCTACTTAAAGCCATCTTTTGCATCATTGCTGTATATTCAGTCCCTTTGAGCTGATGGAACTTTGCCTGTTTCCTTCACTCTCAAAAAAAGAAGGATGTATGTCAGAAATGGGTGTTAACTTTGGTGGACTGAAATTAACAGATGCTTAAAGTACTAGAAAGTTTGGGGGTGGGGTGGGTTCTCTTCCCCATCTTTTTTTCTAGAACAGATAAATAAATGAGGACATTACTGTGATTTTTTTTTTTCTTTTGGGAGTATATATTTAATAAATGGAAAACTGGACAAAGGATTTCTGTTAGTAGATGTAATCTGAATTTATATGGTAAATATGGACTGAAACAGGTGAAGTAAATGGCATGTAAGTTTCTGTGGTTTGTTTTGGGTTTTTTAATACATGTTTTCATTTGTAATTTTGAAGACATTTTATCTTCAGGAGTTCTGTAGTACAGTTTTAACAGTGGCAAAAATACCTGAAGGTGAAAAGATCCCATTATTATGAAAAACTTACATGCAATGTAAATCTCATTTCTAAATTGCAGGGAGGTATAAGAGACCACTGCATTTTAATATTAAAACTGTGGTACTACTTTTGCCAGCTCCCTTTAGGATTGAATTTCATTAATGGTGTCTATATCTATATATAGAGACATTAAAGTGAAGCAGGAGCTACAGGATATTTCAGTAGCACTTCAGTTACAGAAGTTTTCCAGATCTTTTTCATGCTTTACAGTTTCATGCATATACGTGCAGTATCTGTCTGCGTTGGTTGGTTTTTCTATGTTCTAAACATAGACATTTGCTTAACTCATCTCATCTAAAAATAAAGGGATGAGTCCTTCATGTGACAGAGATTTGCATGCTCACAGACCTACAGAATCTGGAAAAATTAGTTACGTGCTGCATCTATTTTATATAAACAGCTGTGTTGCATGGAGATTATTAATAATAGTGTTTGGATGGGGTGCCATGTATTTTAATAACACATTACAGTGTAAAAGCTTTCTCTCCTTCTTCTGAGAAATCAAACTAATACCAGAGTAAAACCAAAAATAACAGTTCAGGGAAGGGAGGGCTTGGAAAGTTTTGTTAATGTAAAGAGAGGGTGCATACCAATTTGGATTTAAATTTAGATCTAAAATAGGAGAAAGCAGTTGCTTGTTGCATGATAAGAAGGTGCTGTCTTCCTCAGTTGGGAGCAGTATGGTATGAGAGACACAGGTGGTCTGAAAAAAAACTGTAACTGCACCAGGAGGGAGAATGGTGAAAGGGGCAAAGTGCTGCTTCTGCTCTTGGATATCAGGGCAAAATAATTTGGCTGAGCTGCTATGATAGTGGATGATAGTGCATCCTGACATGGGGTCTGGAAAACCCATGTGATTTTGGGGAAGAGTCAAGTAAAAAAACTTCCTGGTTTTCAGTGGAAAGTTCACACTCTCTGAACTATGGTGCATAGTTTTTGAGCTAAGGCATTTTGACTCAATTTTCTCTAATTGCATTATTCCTACAATTCCAAGAACAACTTTGTTTGTTATGAGCTGGGAGTGCCTTGGGCAGCTGCCTTTGCTTTGGTGGCCTCTTGTTTGCAAGAGAGGAATGGTGGAGCAGTTGTTGTTTGCTCTGTGTCCTGCTTTCTACCCAGGCTATGGGAAGCCACGCAGG